TGTATGTCGTAGAACACAAAACCTACATCGGAGTAGAACGTTGCGTTTCTCGTAGACAACAAATTCTAGAACATGTAGAGGATTGTGTCTTCAGTAGAACATATGTTCTACCAAATTCACAAAATTGCAGAACATAGAGTAACAGGTAGAAGTAATATTCTACTAATAGTAGATGTATATATAAATTATAGAAATTGTGTTCTACTGCAAGAAGATGTGTGTATAAATGGCAGACATAGAATTCTAGCAGTAGTAGATGTAATAAAGATGAGTAGAATACATAATCTACTTTGAATTTCAGAGCTGGTAGAAGAAAACTTCAATATATTTTAAAAATATCAGATTTTTGAAACAAAATTGTGAAAATATTCTAAAAAGTCTTAAGATCATTTATCTGAATTTTAGAAATATTTTTGGTTTCTGAAAGACACTATTTCATATTTTAAAATATATTAAGAATATTAAAGGCAAAATAGGTAAAAGTATGAAAATGTGTATATGGACAAACCCTCCCTTTTTTCTGTGTATAATCACAATTCCCCCAAAAAATAATCAGTTTCAGCTTTTGACGATCCTCTAATAGAGAAGCTGTTCTTTGGCTTGGTATGAGGAAAAAAATAGGAACAAAATTTTCAAAAAGCGAAAACGAATTCAAGTGCTTTATGAATCCACATTTTCAATGACCATTCAATAATCATTATAGAAACTGTTCTTCTTGTTTTGGTATCAAAATGGGTCCCAAATAGAGACTTCCATATTAATTTTCTGGAAGTTTCATACCAAAACTGGAGTGTGCAAAAAATCATCATTGTATATAGTTTGTATTTTGCAACTTTCTGAAACAAACACATAGGAACATACCCACTTTAAAGTTTTTAAAAAGGTTTTTGTGTGGTTATGGCTGGTTTCAAGTCTCTCTCAACAAACCGTCTTCAAAATCTCTACTTCCCTTCTTCTATTTCTACGCATGCCTACTTGAGTTCTCATTAACAGACCAAATAAACGCAATAAGATTAGGGAACCATCACATTTGTTAAGATTTTCCTTCATGAAGTGCCAAAAGGCTCAAAACTCACATTTGCTATACTAACTAAGAGAGCAAATTAGTACAGAGTGGAGCTATTTTCACAGAAGGACATATAAAACAAAGAACACTAGTGATATACATCAAAGGAGAAGAAGGCCCTGAAGTTACTATAATACTCTATAACAACCAAAGGCAATAAACGCACAGAGGCTTATTACTTCCCTTATTGAGTCAAGAACAAGGTGTCACACTGTTTAAACAATCTTATTTTGTAATAAAAAAGAGTAGTAGTATCCAATGAAAAGTTGTCTTACACTGACAATAACTATGGTTGAATCATCATTTGAATAATAAGATACAAACCCAAGTAAAAATTAAAAACGAAAGTAGTAACATGTACCCCAACAAAAAAAAAGTTATCAAAGGTTCTATCTAACTGAGACGGGTGACCTTAAGTTTCTTTGGAAAGCATCAAACATCGCAAAAAAACAACCCTGAGATATTAAGCCATCCATCAATTTCAAATGCTTGCTACTAGATGGGACTGAGATAGTTTGCAAATCTACCTGTCATTGAAAAACCGGAAAGTTGTTAGAAACTTAAACATGACGGGTCTTTAATTTCCTTTGTCCTCTTTTCCGTTTTAAAAATGTAATATAAATCACAAGGAGCAATGTGTATAGCATGAATCCTTCCAAAACCAAGTTCAAGATATGATAAACATAGGTAATGGGTATGGCTCCTTAATACACAGTCCTAAAGAAGCTCAAACACCTAACAAGTAACACTAAATCTTGCGAAGAAATGAAACTAAAGAGATTGATTATTAGCAGGGACTCAATAACTGAAACAAATCTTGTCCTAGCTAATTGTGTTGTGTAGGTCAATAAGCATAATTCAACCTGAGAGAGGACAATTAATCAATCCAAAAAAAGGCTTTGTCATTACCTTCATAGGAAGTTACATCAGAAGGGAGCTTTGAAACGAGGCAAGCGGCAGCGACAGTGCTGTGAAATGGTTGATGCGTACTTAGTTCTCGCCGCAGAAACCTTTCAGATCCAAATCAAAAATCCAATTTTGTTATCAATGGCATTTACAAACATCTAACACCTGTATTTACATCACGATTTACAGAATTTTCCCAGGAAGACACTGAATTTTACCTGGAAACCGAAGCTTCGATTCGAGTCTGACGAAGAGGCGAAGTGTTGAAATGCGACGACTGGGAATTAGGGTTCGGGACGGAGATTCTAGCTCTTGATGAGATCGAACTTCGTCTAGTAGCGGTTCTGAAGATTGAGCCTACAAAAGTAGACCTAGAAGCGATGCCAATGGCAGCCATTTCTTTTCTCCGATTCAACGCTTCTGCAAATTCCTAAAACTCAGTAAACCCTCTCCCTTAGGAACTGGATAGAATGAACCGTGAAAATTAAACCGGAACAATTCGGTTTTGGTATTCGGTACGATTTCTGGGGCACAACTAAGCGATGGTTTGCGGACAAATTCGAGAGAGGAAATGGTTATCATTGGTTTGACTTGGACGACTAATTAATTAATTTCAACACGTTTCTAACTTGGATATCAAATTAGAACTACTTTTCTCCTGATTTTAATAAAATCGAAACAAGACTCATCACGAACTATTTGGTGCAATTTTGGTTTAGATGGTTTGTATTGGGATGCAGACAACAATAACTGAAGTTGCAGAGGTAAAAAACTGCAAGAACTTTCAATACTCACACAAATATCCTAGAAGAACACTACTACGACCAAGCAAGGTACCCAGAATTTTCTAAATCAGCTCAAGAAACAGAACCAAAAACAATAAAAATCAGTTAGATTCGTCTTCGGTTATCGACTCGGGTTCTCTTGAAGTCCGGTTCTGTTTGCAGATTTTGGCTGCTAGGTTGCAACCTCTTCATGTCACCACTTTCTTGAATCTTCATAAAGTCACATAAAAAAAAAGCAGCCAGCGAAGAAATGGCAAGTTTAGTCCCTGGTCTGAAAATTATATACAAACGCGCTAGGGTCTGAAAAATCTTTACCTTATTGAGTTTGTCCCTGACAGTTCGAACGGTTCGATTCATTGAAGACGACGCAAAGTAGTCCTACACAAATCCAGTTTAAACACCCTAATTAGTTCTCTTTGTTGATTAACTGCGATGGAAAACAGATGACTGATAGATCCAAATCGACATTGGTCAAGTCAGGTGAACTCAAACACACAAAAACACAGACCTGGTCAGATGAAACTCGAGTAACAGGAGCGTTTCTTCTATGGAATTGATAATCCATCTCTCTTTGCAAACTACTACAAGACAAAAGGAAGAAGCAATCGCTCATTCACTAACTCAATGTGTTTATCGATACAAAGAAGAGACTACAGTGAAGTAACCATCTTTATTTTACCTTTGTGGGGAGAAATTGTCTGTTTCGGCTACAGCGTGTCCAGCCAACTTTGTAACTTGAGAGGTGTTCTTGGCTTTCTGGGCTGTTCATATATAGTTGTGAACTATTAATAATGAAATCATCTAAGAGTTTGTATTGTTCCTTTGACATCAACCCCCTCCATGGTTTTATAACCCCCAAAAAAATTATTAATACAATCGAGGTTTAGCTTGTAATGTTTGATTAGAGTACAGTGATTAATTCAGCGTGTGATGTGATGTCGGTTTCCTTATATAAGGAGGAGACACAGTTTCTCTATCCAATTTCTCCAAAAACAAAGACTTAATTGACAGTAAACAGAAAGCTTACGGTTCAATCTTGCAAGCACTTGTTTCCTCCTTGTTTCTAACTTATTCTTTGTGTCATCGAGGCTCTCGAATTGGGGAGCGTATGAAACCTGGAGCCGATTTCCCAAGAAAATTGATTCATCCAACTTCCTCTTTGCAAATCTATCAAAACATAAACATATCTCAAACAAACAAATTCTTCCTATTGGACAACCAAAAATAGAGCAAGAAAAAAGTTCTGCAGATACAAATTCACCAGAGGAGCTGAAATCCAGATCTCATCACACCACAGAACCTACTTAAGCATCTTCTTCTTCATAATCAATCAAACAAAAAGACAAATAGGAATCTCAGTGATCATCGAAGGGAAAGAAGAATCAAAACCTGGCATTAGAGATGAGTTGGAATTTGATCCAGTAAACATCCGTGAACTCCTCACAGTCCTCTGCATCCATAGGTTTACATCTACTCGAATCAAAAAACAAAACAATATCATTCATTATCGATAAAAAATAATGAAGCAAACAAAAATGGAGAGAGAACAATCAAACACTCACTCTTCAACCTCTCCGTAAGTTGTGAATAATCTCATGAGATCATCACCACAACCCAAAGCTGGTACATTACGTACTATCAAGTATCTGAAAACCAACAAAAGGTTCAAAATTCCAATAAAATTGATACTTAGAAGCGCTGAATTAATTAGTAGAAGTACAATTCCGTCAGACCTTGATTCATCGCAAACTGTATAAACCCTAACCGCTGGTTGATCATCTTTACATCGACCCATCTTCTTCTACAGTTCTGGACGTACACTAAAAGGGGAAAACGAAAGTCTGACGAGAAACAGGAAAACTGAACCGAAACCCTAATGTTAAAACGAAACCGCCCGAATCTGAATAAAAAAACTATAGTCGCCGGCGAGATTGAGAAACACAGATTAAGAAACAGTGAAATTTATCCTACGAGAAAGCCAAAATCGAAGAAGATGAATGATTTCAGAATCGTCGAGCCTTTTCTTTTATTTTCTTCAGGATTATTTTTAAAACGACGTGGTTTCGGAATGTGTAAAAGAAAAAAGACAAAACAAGCCCGACTTAACCACCTAAACCGGCGCCAAATTAGCTTGGTCGAACCATCCGCTCAAAATTTTGATAGTCCAAAAAAACAAAAATATAAATTCCACCAAAATTTCAAGATTACAAGAAACTCAAAAAGACATTTTTTTACATCTTCTTCTACATATTCTTTTGAAGAACATTCACAAGCTTCTCATAAGAATCTGTATCCACAAGCTTTTTCTCTTGCAACATCTTCACAATTCTCTTGGCTTCACCATATTTCCGTTTGCTACAACTCTCATCTACAAGTGTTCTATATGTAATCAAATCAACGAATCTCCCATTCTCAATCATCTCCCACGTACAAACACTTGACGCATCATCAATCTCGCCGCTAAGCGCAAAAGCATTAACCAGAGAGTTATACGACTTGGCCTTAGGAACAAAGCCTTTCAATTTCATCTCATTAAGCAACTCTCTAGCATTAATGGTCCTCCTTTGTGCACACAAGCTGTGTATCAGATAATCATAGGTAAACGAATTCAGCTCGCAACTGTAAACCACACCCATCTGAAGAAATATCCTAAGAGCATCGTTACCTAGAGCGAGAGCACGAAACCTTTAACCAAACAGTTAAGCGCGAACACGTCTGGTTCGAACCCGTTATCCACCATTTGTCTAAACAAAGATCTTATTGTTTCCATACACAAATGGCTTGTGTAAGAGTTGTTACCTTGACCTAACAAGGCCTTGCAGAGAATGTAATAGGTTCTAATCGTCGGTCTACATTCCAAGTTCTTGCTAGTAGTCATGTGTCTGAATATATTCACCGCCCCAAATTAACTTGCCGGCTTTCGTGAAATAGAATAAGAATGAATTGTCAAGGTTTTGGTTGCCAATGTAACCAATTGAGAGCACCTGGTTGACGATATCATCCATTCATTTGTACATTTTCACAGCTTCGAGCTTCCTGATGCCGATGTGGCAAGAGCAGTTCGAATGTTTAAATCTTGGCTTTTGAGATGGCTAGTTGAAGAGATGGAAACACACTAATGGGTCTTCTTCAAGTGTTATAGTGTCGGTGAATCTTGGTGGGAGCTTTGAAATCTTTGCTTGAAACTTGGATTCGTTAAGGACTGGTTTTGGATTGTTTCTTTTGCTGATTCTCCTTCTAAGTGAACGCGTTGGGACTCGGTTTGAGTATGCATATACATAGAAACAGATGAAGATCGACCTATACTTATGAATTCACAAAGGAAAAGCCCTAATCATATTCATATTTTGCAGAACTGATAAAAAGCATTAACAAGCAATATCAATATAGAAAAAGATAAGATACCTAGAGAAGAAGTGCATCTAGAACCAAACCAAGCGGCCGCAATGATACTATAAAATCGAAATCGTCGAAGAAATATTAGTTCTTGTGGCAGAAAACATATGGATTCGATTAAAATTGGAACTTTTGAGTGAAGATAAGATACATAGAACAAAGACATAAGAGAGTCCAAGATTGTATCATGGGTATTACAAATTAAGGAGAAACAATCCGGTGAAGCTGGAGAATTACCTTGAAATGGAACCTTCGATTCAAGAAGCCGAGACCAAGTGAAATTAGGGTTTCTGTACGGTCGTGCGGACGTGCAGGATGTTGGATGGGAACAGGTCGACCCGGGAAGGTCGACCGCGGGACAATGCTTCCCGGGTCGACCTGCGCACTCGGCCGCGTGTACGGGAGATTGGTATAAGGCGCGTGCGACATGGCTCGACCGCGGGACGATGTTTCCCGGGTCAGCCGACGCGCGGTATGGTACATATCCGGTTTCGGTTGTCTGGACCAGTCTTCACTAAAATGATCATAACTTCATTTATACTCATCCAAATTGTGGAAATCCAATTGCATTGGAAAGCTGATTCACGTAGGCATTCTGGATGTAATCTATTGAGTATAATGTTTTTAAGGCCTTGACAAAGTTGATGTTGCAATATGAAGCAGGATGAAGTCCAAATCCTATGGTTTTGCTCTAAAATGCACATTTCGACCTGCTTAGACTCTTAGTACTATGAAACCATAAAAATACCTTTTTCGATTGAAAACCTATTAGAAAACAAACTAAAATCATATAAAAAGTGTATAAAATAGAGGTATATCAGCCTACTATGCTATATTTGTATTCGTTTGTAGGAGATTGTGGAAAAAGTATCAAGAGTCGCTTTTCCTAACCCACCAAGGCGTACTCGCTATAAGAAAAAACTAGATCCTGACCCGTGCTTGGGAAGCACGGGATGAAAAGTTTTTTAAAAATGTTTTTAAAATATTGATACGGTAATTATGTAAATAATATGTTTGTGATATATGTGATGATGAGTTATTTTGAAAATATTTAATATGTATACAAATGTTATAATTTCATGCAAGATACTGACTCTGAGGCAGTCTTGCTCAAACCGCCTTCAATATGTTTTGACAGTATAACATACAGATATGTTGTTTTACGGGGTTTGCACAGTTTCATTTGGTGAGTTATATTTTGGTTATATACGTATATCTCATTCGGTTTAAAGATTTACCGTTTTGCTTGGTTTCATAATGTATGGTTTTGCGGGTTTGATTTGGTGAGTTATAAGTATAGAATTAATATTTCAAATTTGATAACCCCTATTTATTATTTCCATTTGTTCCAAAAGTTAATTCAGTTGCAGAAATCATAAAAGAAAATCAATACTCTTAAATTATAACTCCTTAATATTTTGGGTATATTCTTAAGTTTAATAGTATAGATTTAATAGTATAGATGATGACCAGAAATAGATTTGGTTCAATTCAGGTAAACCGAGCGATTGAATTCAATTTTGTTCGGTTTAGCTTAACCGACTGATTTACTTTACAATTTGGAATTGAGCCGACAATCGCCGTTACCATTTCTTTGTTTCGCGATATCGTCGCAACATCTTCTCTTTCGACAAAAATCCGGTCGTCTCCTTCATCTTCTTCTTTTTCCTTTATGCTCCTCGCGTTAACACTTCTCCGCTCGTCTTCTTCATCTTCTTCTGTTACTGAAATTCTCCAATTGACGAAATCTCAATCGATCAATCTCAAACATTTTTGTGGTCTGACCTAATCCAGATCTTTTCAATGTTCGTGAAAATCCTATGCTCTACTCAAAAGAACCCAGCAAAATCGATCTCTGCAGCTGACGGGACTGTGCCCTTGCGTCTCCGTTCTGTAGGTCAGGTAAACCTCTAAGCTCTCGCAATTTCCTTCCCTGTAGCAAGACTTCGATTTTTACTTGCCTCCTAGATCAGATAACACAAATAAGATTAACAATCCCAGTCAAATGAATTGCAAAGTAAATTAAAACTTGTATATTTCAATCCCGTCTTGATGAATTTATTTAACATTTCGTAATCACATTACTTGGTTGTATGTTTGACGGGCTGAGCGATCATGAGTGAAGCACGGATTGAAAAGGAGACATTGCTGTTGAATACCAAAAAACTTCACTGCAAAATACTCAGGTAAATATTTTTCTTGGACACCTTTTCGTATCTCTGTGGTATCCGTTAGAATTATTTTAGGTTTTTAGTTGTGATTTGAATTTGTTACCATAAGGGAAACTTGATTTCTCCGTTAGATTAACAATTTCGTTGTTAAGTTATTTGCATAAACTAAGAACAAATTAAGACAAACGTAAATACAATCACAATATATAGGTAGTTCTCAAAAATGGAAAAAAGTTTTAAAACATCATTCTCATAGACTAACAAAGTTCACAACGTTTGAAGAACATAGGATATTTTAAAACCATAGTTGAAATGAAAGGTGCATACTTAGATTCTCATAGCTAAACTGCAAACAAAAGCTCAAGAAATACTTAAACGGAAAAGATCTTCATACTTCGATGGGAATGATTCAGTGATTTATCTCCTTCATTACTCCTTCTCATCATTCATCGCTCAGGTCCTCTTCTTGGTGCAATCTGCAGTAAACCAGTAACCTAAGAATGGTCATAAGGAGCAGCCTACATTCTAAAAAACATTGTACTTCCGAATTTAATACTTACAATATGTTCGTGAAATGTACCACTTCGTGGTGTCCAGGAGGATCATACTCAAAAGTAGAAATCCCTTCTTCATCTTCGACTTGAATAGGACCTGGTAGTTTATAGAGTAATGGTTGATCATTATCTAGTTGATATTGAGATGCTATAGCGTAAGATGAAGGTAACTTAAGGTTTTCAAAGTTTACTAACCATCTCTTCCAACAACACGCCAATTGGTTAATAGGCATATGTTTGTTCCGGTTTCACCATAACATAGCCAATTACGTTTAAAGAGAACCGCCAAGATCCCCTTTGCACGACAGTTTAGATGATTTCCACTGCATAACCATCAAATTGTGACATTCATAATCATATAACATATCACGTTTCTTAGTTTGGAAAAGATCTAATAAGTAGTTATCAAATTCTTACTCGTTGTCTTCAAGAACAAAGTCAATCGATCCGGTGGTCTTAGGATCATAGTTATGTATGTTTCTAGGCATAGAGTCATCCACTGTGAGGCCGAAATCTGAAACAGAAGATATGACGCCTAGAAAGTCTACAAAAACCGTTTAAAACAAAGTATCAAACTTTAACAAAAGGATATTAATTAATCTTAACATTTTGCTCTTTGACAATAGTATTAGTAAGGAAAATTAACCTCTAGTGTAAGAAGTTCCATCGTGAACAGTTCCGTTCTTAACATCCTGAAATGGAACCAAATCTAGCGGAATAAAACCATTGAACAATTCTGAAACACCAACTTCTGTGTTTCGCTTGAGAACGATCTCTTTTCTTTGTTTAGTCATACGAATCTCATTCCGGACAATAACAACTGAGAAACCAGTTATCGTGAACCAGTCTCCTTTCTGAAGAAGTCTCTTAAATCTCTTGGCATCAGCAAAATGCTGGACGAATGCATGCATCCTTGTGCCCTGTTTGCAAAAATGAGTAGAGATTAAAACATTAAAATTTGTTACCTCTAAAATACTAATGTTTAACTGTATAGGTTAACTATTCACAAACCTCATCATCAACCACCAGGAAACTGAGGCCTTCACCATTCTCGACATCTAGAGTAGACCACACGTTCTCAACTCTCACTCGAATCATTGAATCATCTCCATTGGGTGTAACCATGGCGAGTCTCTCAAAGTTTGCCATTGAAGTTGTTTTTTAGGTTTCTTTTCTTCTTTACAGAGTTTTGATTGAAATAGGATGAATTTTTCCGCTTATATATGATGTTCTTTCTAGGGTTGCGTTTATGTGGACGGTTGCATTTAATCATGGATTCTTAAATATTTCCTGAAGATTTTCTGAAGATTGAATATTTTCTTGTGATAATTAACTGAATATACGGATATTTTCAGAAAAGGAGAGTTCATTAAGTTGCGGAATCTACGTAACCGGCTAGAGAATCATTACATATTCGAATAGATGCAAAATACACAAGGTAAATGTTTGTTGTTTTTCAATCCTTTCCAATCCGTGTTTTTCTGTTTGTTTCGTTTTAAGTTGTGACCTACTGTTATGTTATTAGAAAAGACTATGATCAAATCAAATCAAACATAGTTAAATAGAAGCCAGAAAAGTTTAAAAAGGTTCCCAAACATGAAACAAAGGTTTAATACATAGTTGTCTTAGATAAGTTGCATGGACAGAAAAGTAGACGACGTGCATGATCTTAAAATATCTTCCGACATTTTGCTTGAGCATATCGTGAAGTCCATCAACTTTTGTTGTCGGTTCTACAGCCATTGAAATAATCAAATTCCATTTCTTCAACATTCTTCTTCGCTGCTGTCTTGTGAGGAAGAGCACCTGCATAGACACATTAGTTTTATTAAGCTGTAATTTTCAAGTTTTAAGCCTTTTCATAATTCTTGTTATCAGAGAGAGTCATAGGTCGAATACTTACATTATCTCAGTGAAATGGTCAACCTCATCAAAGCCAATAGGATTGAATTCAAATCTAGAGATTCCTTCTTCACTTTCGATATGAATTGGATCTACACATATAAGTTATAACATCCCATCAAGATAAATAATATTTAATAGTATAGATTATTCAAGGAAGGATGTAACTGAAATTTTCATACACTTACCCGCATCTTCAACAACCCGCCAATCGGTTAAGAGGCATACGATGGTCTCAATTTTACCATAGTAAAGCCAAAACCGTTTAAACTTAGATGCTAAGGCACCCTTTACACGACACTGTATTTGATCCCCACTAAAGTAGCCACAAATAGTGTATGTATTTCAGGTTAGAATTCAGAAACGATACATAACTTATTCCAATTTAGTTTTGTGTAAATATACTTACTCGTTGTCCTGTAAGGTGAAATCTATTGTGTTAGTGGTCTTTGGATCATCGTTTAAAGGGTTCCTAGGAATAAGAGACATCTTCCCTGAGCATTGTCTCACGAACTTCAAGTATAAACCCTAGAAAGTCTACAAAAAAATGCCAAATAAAATTAACATATTGAAAGCTACTTTTCCTATAGGGTTCCTCGTTTAGATGATACAAAATGTTAAGTAAGAAAAACTAACCTCTAGGGAAAGAAGTTCGTTCATCATTCCAAAAATTCGAAACATAATCGTAAGGAACGATGTCAAGCGGAATCCAAGCATCCGAGTCCTCTGCGGGTGTGACGCTGGTGTTGGACGTGAGAGCAATCTTGTTTCTGGCTTCCGTCAAACGGATCTCTGTGTTCACCATGACCACGGAAAATCCGGTTAGAATCTTCCATTCCCCTTCATGAAGACATCTCTTGAACCTTTTCATCTGATTACTTTGTTCAACAAAAGCATGCATCTTTGTGCCCTGTTAGAGTAACATAAAGTGTAGTTAGGAACATGATTTTGGAACATAAAGAACTTGTATATGAGAAAATATGAATATGAATAGATCTGTAACATCCCGGTTTGTGATAAATGAGAAGAGGCTTAAGAGAATTGATTTGGCTACCTATGTCAACAAAGTGCACTTACCTTTTCGGTCAAAGGTCTATAAGTAACTCCAGAGTTAAGCGTGCTTGGGCTGGAGTAGTTGAAGGATGGGTGACCTTTCGGGAAGTGGTTTCCGAAACCGTGTGAGTGAGGCCAAAACACGGGGAAAGGTCGGGTGTTGATTGCAGGGATAGTAAACAAGTCATTAGAGCCTCTCAAAAATAACGGACCGGCCGTCGGACAGGGGTGAGGCCCACGGGCCGAGATGGGCCTGGGGGCCCAAAGAGAGGGCGTGGGTGACTCACCGGGAGGGGCGGTCGGGGCGTTATAAGATCGAGAACAAACCATTTCATCCACAAAAAGAAAGCTTAGACCTTCACCAACATCTGCCTCCAAGGTATCCCACATCTTTTCAACTCTAACCAAAACCCTCCAATCAGAACGGTTAGGTGTCAACACGTTGAGTCTGGTGAAGTTTGCCATTGAAGATATTTTCTAGATATGGAGTTCTTAGTTTTCTACTCTGGAACATAAGTTCGGAGAACACTCTCCTTATATAGGGAAACAAATTAGGGTTGTCTTTGATTGGGACGGTTGATATTACTAAACGACGCAATGGTCAAATTTTTTTCATTTTTTATTTTTAATTTTATATATTTTTAACATTTTTAAATTCTGGTAACAATGATTATATCTATGGCTATTTTCCCGAATCTTCTTTACCAAACTTTCCGGATTTAATGTCATAGTTAATATAATATCATTTCATATATTAAATAGATCTTTAGGGATTTGACACTCTATTAATATAATGATGATTGCATATACGAAATAGTGCATGTAAAATCACTCAGATATGGTTATAGAAGAACAGATTCAAATATAGGAAGGAGATAGTTTAAAGATAGAAGAAACAGATTCAAAGATGATAGTAGATAGTTCATAGATAGAATTGTGAATCAAGCATAAACTGAAACAGTCAATAGTTCAAAAACAACATGGCAACAATCTCTTATGGAAATTCATACTAACAAAGTAGTATTTCATGGAGATACTACTACCACCTCCTCAACAGAGCCATCACTGTCATTGAAACTGCAAAAAAAATATGTTTAGCATAATTTGTATTAGTTACGATGAATGTTAACAACCAAAAATTAAGGAATGTAAAGATATTGTAAATAGATTTCTAACTTACTATTCAGCGCTGAAATCATAAACATCCTGATAATCAGCATTGAACTCAAATCTAGATATTCCTCCTGCGTCCTTAATCTTCAGCTCACCGGTTCCTATCATTTATTTTAACAGTTGATCGCAAGTAATGAAGTTGTACACTCACTTTCATTGTAGTAACTATTTTGAAATGATGAAATTAAAAGATTGCATACTTTGTTCTCCGTAAACCATCCAGTCGCTCATTGTGATGAATGTTTCTGTTGTACCATGATACCACCATTTATCATATAGCTGATCCGCCAAGACTCCATAAGCTTTGCATTCCAGTGTTACACCACTAAATTCAATATGTTAAAAAACAGTTTAGTCTCAAAAAACGAAATATATCATAACGGGTAGAAGTCTGAATTAAGTCACAGACAATTTTGCTTCACTTACTCTAAGCCCTTTATCGTGAACATGACTCTAGAAGTCTTCTTGCCAGGAGCTAGTCTAAAGTTGTGGTCCTTCACTGTTTTTATCTCTTCAACGTCATCCAGATAACCTATAAGATCTAGTATTCCATTGAAAACATAATGTTAAATTGTCTGTGACTAACTCCATTAAAGATGTGCTTGTCTAACAGTAGTATACAATATGTCTCATTTGCACGAGTTAAAAATGTAGAGACGTATTCACTTACCGATAGGATGATGCGAGTTGTATACTCCATTCTTTATATCTGTGTAGTCCTTGAACTCCATGTAATGGTCTTGATGAACACCAGTTGACACATGCAGATCTGTATCCTCGGTGAAGATGATGGTATGATTATTCTCAGAGAAAAGTGAAGGAGGTGGTGTTAACTCAACGATGAATCCTGAGATAATCATCCAGTGGCCTTCGTGCAGATTGAAGTCGAAATCGTCATTGAGGCCAATCTCCGGACTAACCTTAGCAGGTATTTTTTCACCCTTTTCATTTGACAAAGTAGAATTGAATTAGTTGATAATCCAGGTAGATAAAACATTAGACCTATCTACGATTAAAAAAACAATAGGAATTCTTAAACTTACATGTTCATCGACTAAAAGAAAACTCAATATGTCTCCACCTCCTACTATCATCTCCTTCCATTTTTTCAAAATCTTCACTCTTATTATATAATCATTCCGATGAGGAGAAAGCTCGGCGATCCTAGTAAAATTAGCCATGTTCTGAAAGATTTTCTTAAGTTTTCGTTTAGACCCTAATACATAAAGAGCTATTCATCTCCCTTATATAATTCCAGAATTAGGTTTTACCCTTTTTTGTTATGCCTCTTAATTTTTATGTAAACAAAATATTTCAGCAATATATTTGTTATGCTTTTAATTTTTTATGTAAACTAAATATTTCAGTCATAGATTCGCATTGACTATGTTTGTCAGTTTTGTCTTCTCTATGTAAACAGGAAAAGCTGATTTCTTTATGGTCTAACACGCAAAGGGGAAAGGTATGAATTAACTGAATACTCATAATGAATAAAATTTATTCTACTCGCATAACAGTTAAAAAGTAAATATAAAGACAAACATTTATTAAGCTGATCCATATCTCCGATAATGGACTCAGATTTTGTTGAAAATGGGCCAAAATTCAAGAGAAAAACTTTAACAACATCCATACGGATGATTTAATTTAAGTAAAAATGTCTATAAACGACAACGAAAACACAACAAACGACATAGTCCCCAAAGATTATTTAAATATAGGCAGCATAGAAGCACGGGTTTAGAACAGTTCACAAATATAATTTTAGTTCAACTTATTTTCCCTCCAAGTGAAACTCATTTTTCAGGGAGACCAATCCAGCTCAACACTTGAACCATCACTCTCTATCCCTGTAGGGTCGCTCTCATTAAAACTGCACAGAAGTGTTTTATTCCAGTTTTATTAGTTACAGAGAAAAAATTTAGACTCTAATGCTAATTGAAACATTCATCACTTACTATGCTGCCCTGAACTCATAAACATCCTGGTAAAGAGCATTGAACTCAAATCTAGAGATTCCTCCAGCATCCTTAATCTTCATCTCATTGGTTCCTATACGTTGGAAACTTAGCTAGTCATTGATAGTCGATTGTACTCTATCTAGATGCTATCTTATGTAACATTCCATCTATAAAGATGCAAAACTTCCTAAGCAACTGTGATACATACCTCTGTCCGTGTAAACCATCCAATCACTCATTGTGATGAATGTTTCGGTTCCACCATGCCTCCACCATTTATTGTAAAGTTGGATAGCCAAAACTCCCCTGGCTTCACATTCCAGTGTGCGACCTCTAAAGATGGAAAGTATATAAAGTTGATGATAAAAGTCGCATTTACAACTTAATCTCATTTAAACCTAGGTAAAAAAATCATGAACTCTATCCACTATACTTACTCAAGATCCTTGATCGTGAATGTTACTCTTGAAGTTTGCATGTTATCACCTAGTGTAAAGGTGTGGTCTGTCACAACTTCTATTTCACCAACGCCATCTAGATAGCCTAGGAGATCTATTTCAAAGAATAGTTAGAGTGTATCTATATATTTTTTGATGAAATATGAATATGACTATTGATTAATACTTCAAGATAATAAGTTTTCACGAACATTAATAATTGCTCGGTTAGTAAAAACATACCAATTGGATAGTTGGAAGTATATACTCCATTCATTATGGACCGGAAGTTCTTGAAACTCATGTAATGGTCTGTGATGACACCCCATGACCTCTGCAGATTAGTATTACCTGTGAAGATGATGGTATGGTGATTCATAGCAAAACGAAATCCAGGAGGTGACAACTCTACGGTAAATCCAGTGATGATTTTCCAGTCGCCCTCGTGTAGCTGTTCATC